TTATTTATATCAAATGGCAGGCTTTATGATAGTTATCATTAGCTCTTTAGTTGACTTCGGGCTTCACAGAGGGGAGGAACAGACAAAGTCACAAAAAGTGGTGAGAATAACGGAATAATACTTCACAGATGCCAAAGAGACAGGCGGAGAAAAAAAGTAAGGTGAGTACTATGGGAGCGGTGGAACATGACATACAATGGGGTCATGGTAATTTGAATTCAGGAGTCAACTGGCGGTTAATAGACTTTTTTGCCAAATGAGAATACGTTGCCCAGGGTGCACCACGTGGAGGTAAGTCTACCGCACACCCCATCCAGTATAATATTAATCAAGTTGAATTCTAACTTGGGAACTATTAGCTTACGTTATGTTACGATATTCCAATTGGTTAAGTATTAGTTCAAATACTTGAATAAGATTTCAATAACTTGACAAGTATTCTTATTGGACAGATAAAATAACACATATGCTTTCTATTATGTTTATTCTCAATTCATTGCCTATACTTTGATTTTCTATTTCGGAAGCTGGTATCGATCTTCAAATAATGAAGTATTGTCTGTAAGCGTTAATAGCCAAGACTCTCTTTACTTAGTTAGGGGGAGGGGGTGTCTCAAAACGAACTCAAACTGAAGTTATGTGAAATGAGGCCAAATGGAAGGAACAAGTCAAGTCACTCATATCGCTGGACCAATTGATGAAGTAATTGTGATCATATACGAAATACACATACACAGCTGTTCACTGTTGATCAGTGATCTTTAATAGTCAAATTTTGATGACCCTCTGCTCTCCATAGCAGATACAGTCTGGAACAGATAAATATATACTTAATTTCTTCATATACAATTTGTAGATCGACTGAAAGATCTAGAAGGCTTTGAGAGGATGGTACAAGGTAATCTTATGTTTAATCCTAATATACTGAACTTGTGAAAAATTACAACTCTCAGCTATCTCTGTTGCTTCTATGTACTTCTAGATGTAGAGTTTTTCCGAGAGAAGTTGGCGATCTACACTCGCCAGTCAATTATAACTAAACTAATTCCAATTGCCCGATCTCTGGGTCTTATTAATGTGGATTCAAGTATCTTTAAGGGCACAGTAATCCCCTCACCTCTGATTTGTCTCGACTGCGTCTACGAGGTTTTGCCAACTGTTGCTCGTCAGGAGGTTGATCGATTAACCAAAGAGACACAGGACGGGGAATATACTCTCACGTTGACATTGACAACTACGCTGGACTATGTCAACCACCTTACCTTCTTGAGACAGATACAGTTGAGAGTATGTTGACCTATTGTAATGGTATATACTCAATGCGTCGCTTAAACTTGTTGCCAATTTACTGAATAAGTTAGATAAATATTAGTAAGTATTAAAACTAGGGTGGGATCCATGGTAAGTGGACTTATCTTCCTCCTATGGTGTCCTTTTACTCATTGTATTGCTGATGTTTGAGCTACCAAAAGAATGAAACAAAGGCTTAGAGAAATTCCTCTACTTAGCTAAGGCTAACAGGAAACGCTAGCCTTAGCTAAGTAGAGGAAACTTAGCAACGAATGAAGAAAGATGGCTTATTGGTTCACCGTGTGGTATAAAAGGCAACGACGGGAATAGCAGTTTTGTATTGCAGGGGATATGCAATTTCGCACCATCAAAACTGAGTTTGTTTGTTTTGTTGGACGTATTTTGTTGACCATAAAAAATCAACCAAGGGACTTCATGTGACATTTGCATCGAAATTTGCACCCCCTCGAGAGAGAGAGAGAGAGAGACAAACTCACAGATGTAATGCTTACTCTCAAATTACTCAAACTTGGTACTGAGAACGTAAAACTTAAAATGCCGCTTAATCAATGAAAGGTACAAATAGGTAAATGGAGTTCCATGATCTGTTAAGATTGTAACATTGACATGATCGGAAATACGAGGAATTGAAAAATGGCTTCCTTTCCAACTATGTCCTATGTAGGGCTTCGAAAGCATTGAGTCGTGCTTTCAATTACTTGTCTTTTTAATTTGTCATTATAACAACAAGATTTCTAACTTTTTAACATTAATCGTAACCACCTACCACCACTCTAATACTTAAGATTGAATCCCTCGAGAGGGAGTCAGATGCCGTTCGATCCATGTACGATCTTATCGACGCATTTAAGGTTCCTGTACCGCCTGAGGATTTGGCAATTTATCAGGTAAGCCTACTGAATATTTCTACTATTTATCGATGATTAATCTCGAGTCGTAATAAGACGGATTCTTTTTTGCATTCAAGACATTACATCCGGCTATAGAAAGAACTGCTACCGCCATAGACAAAGCAATCGCCGAACGTGACGCGAAAGTCGATACCTTCTTTAGCTGTTTGAATAAAGATATTGGTGACCTTATCAATGAAGTTAAAGAAACTAAACAGAGTGTTGAAGTAAGAAAAATAATAATGCATTCTAAAATGCACAAATAATTTTTCATGAAAAAAAGTTTTTATTTGATTAATTACATTTCATTTCACTAGAACCCTCTGCTTTTGGACAACACGAGAGATAGAGCGGAGTTGATTGTTGAATTGGACCGGTTGGAAAGAATTGTCAATACAGAAAAGGAAAAATATCAGACGTACAAAGGATATGAAAAGAGTTTCAAGGATTTAACTTTACAAATCAGTGGAAATCAACTTGAGGACCAGATTTTAAGTCGACCCGGTATAAGAGCAAGCAGTTTTTTGGTAAGAATGATTCAGGGCTCATAGTTACTTTTTCATCTTTCTTTTATTAACCCATTCATTAATCCACTTTACTCTCCTTTAATAGGAGTGGCTCGGGAAACTATATCCCAATGTTGTGAAGGTATGTTAATGAACGCTGCGTACATTTTATTGGCTATGAGCGGTATAATTTGAAACTGGGGGGGGGGGGAGATTTCCTTCAAACAATTAATGATTCCTTGGCCGAACGAATAATAGAATCAATCCAACGAATTACTAACCCACCGTCTCTTTGATTACTTTTTCACAATATTTATTTATTTATTTATTTCAAATGGCAGGCGTTTTGATAGTTATCATTAGCCCTTTAGCTGACTTTGGGCTTCACAGGGGGAAGGAACATCAAAGTAACAGAAAGTCGAGGGGTGGGGAACAGAAGAGTGATTTACAGATGTAAAGAGACAGACATGAAGGCAGAGAAAAGGTAGAATGAATACTGCGCCAGAAGTCAATCGCCAGTTAATAGACTTTTTTGCCGTATGAGTATACGTTGCCCAGGGTGCACCACGTGGAGGTAAGTCTATCACGCACCCCTTTTTCACAATATAAAAGTTATATATTTATTAGATTATCGAATAGGATATAAGTTACCCAAATAACTCCTGGCTATTATGTGCCATGGAAAATTGAGAAATGCCATTCAATTTTGTCACTTATCATGGTGTTTTATCTTATTATCTGCATGCAGTTTTTTTATTTTTTCAAGAGGGACATTTAATTCTCGTTGAACAGGCGCTTCAATTCCAAACCA